AGAGACCTAGGTTTGTAAATAACTTACATGCTTACATTGAAAACCAAAATTTGATGTAGTTTTTGAATGGAAAAATCATGACGCCCAAGCCATGGTTAGATCACGTGAATTGGTTTCTTCGTGTAAAGAAAATCTAACATATTAGGTGAGATAAACATAATAAAACATAACCAAGGTTAATGTCGTACGTATTTTATTTCTTCTATAAGTAGACTACGTAGTGCTCTCCTTGTTTTGAATGTGTCTTGTGCATCTCAAAAGTCTCCTTTCACTAGTGCAAAATAGTATTTTAAACAACTTTTTTTTTACATCAATTTCAACTTAATTAATGTAAAATGCCGCTTTCTATCTTGGTTTTAATTGAATCGATGTAAAAAAAAAAGGTATTTTACATTGGTTCACGTTAGAATCAATTTAGAAAAGTGTTAGATTTCCCAAGAACACATTTTGCATACTCGCGCTATCACTCTTTCACGAACACTCTCATCCAACTCTAACGACGATCTATTTCCTCCGACAACCTCTGTTTCGTGATTCTGGCACTAAAAAGCCCTCCCCTTTTCTTTGGTTATGCCGACGTGCCCTTGCTTCATTTCATGCCCTTGCTATCTTACTCACTTCCAATACATGTATTTGCCTCGATTTGATTGATTTGAATGATAATATTGTAAATTTTGAAATATTTCTTATTTTCTTCATAAAATTATTTTAAATTTAAATTTTAAATGATTATTTTATTAATTTTTAATATTATAATTTAATTAATATTAATTTTGATGAGATATAATATTAATAGTATTATTGAATAGTATTTTCTTTTGTCGTTATCTTTAATTTAGTATTAGAAAGATCTCATTTATTTCCAATAAATCTTTTAAATCAGTATATTGCATGTTTCAAGAGTTTAGATCAATTCGTGTTTATTTTCATCCATGATAATCTAAATGATTTATTGTTTTTAATGCTCATGTTAATTTTAATAATTATGTGTTTTATATTGATTTCTAATTATTTTTTTCGACCCATCTTATATTTTGCTGTTACTAATTTTTTTTCCATGCTTTGAGAATTGCGAGAAAAAAGAGGCAGAATGAAATTGTGATGTTGCTAATGATAGTAATGTGCAAAGCATGGAACAGTTTGATGATATTCAATGTGAGAAGTGGATTGGTACAATTTTGGTTAGAATTTTTGTTCATTAAGGAGATGCAGCTCACGAGCAATGACACCTTTTAAGGCGTCTTAGAGATAGTTGTGACTTCCTTTGCAACTTGATGTTAGAGTCGCCATGAATGATTAGATCTATTGTTGGAGTTGGAGCTTTGATCCACTGTTTCAAGATTAAAGTTGGTGCTAACGCAAATTGGATCTGATGCTAGATTGAATTTTTGAAGACAACCCTGAAGCACTCTATTTTTCCACTGGATTAACCAAGCCCTTGACTTGAAGATTATAAATGGAACTACTAATTTATTTGTGGAGGTATCTCTTTTCTTCAATTTTTGAGTATTATATATATATTGTTGGAAAACTGACAGTGACTTTGTTGAAAAGAATGTTGCATTGAAATCTTTGTTTATAATACATACTTCCGAGGAACGAAGATGTTGGATGCGGTCATAACCCACATGGGATCCAATCATAAAACTAAAATAGTTTGAATTAAAGGCCAAGTAATGATGTTAATATCCAGATAGTTGAATCCAAATGCTTGTAGAAAAAGATGTTATGATGCGTCATTTTGAGGTACACGTATATCATATATTTTTATTATTTTATTTTTTATAGTGAAAGTCAAATGAACTTATAATAAAAAGATGTGGTGAGGAGAATAATTGAAAGATATCATTATGTAAGTAATTAATCTTTAGAAATCTTTTCACGGTAAAAAGAACCTGTATAAATAAACTTAGATGAATATAATAGCTTTAGTGTGCATCAATTTATATGGTGATGAATAATTTTTACTTTATATTTTTGAGGTACTGGTTTCTAGATCTTTTCATATTTTGTTGAATTGATTTGGTGATTATATATTTTATTTATTTTTGAAGCAATATGTTAATTTATATGTCATTACATGAGAGATAACTAGTGACAATTAAGTTTCATTTGAGTATCTTAATTAAATGTGTAGTCATATAATGAATGTTAACACATTTGGGGTATTAGTGGTGTAAACCTTTTCATTTTATCTCTTGAAAGCTATAGTCATTTATATCAGATTTAGTGGAGACAATGTGAATTGATAACAATTATGAGTAATATAATGTTACTTTTTATTACAATATTTTACATAACATGAGATGTTATATAAATGCCATAAATTATGGTATTTAATATTGTGGATTTTTATTATATTAAAAGACAAATTTCATTAATGTTGTGTCACTACAATTTGTTGTGATGAAATTAATTTAAGATGAACTATTAATAATTATCGAAGAGTTTGTTGCCGGTTGATTATGAGGCTTAGTGGTTGAGAGTTGAGAGAAGCTTTTAATAAATATTTTGTTGAGAATATAAAATTAAGAAATGGGATATAACAATTGCTTAAAAATATTGAAAATCATTATGTGTAGTTTGTGATGGATTTGACCGATCCTTTGACTTTGAATCTCTAGGAAAGATATTATTTGCTAAACAGCGTGAGTTATTTATAAACATCAAGGGGAATGAGATTTTTATTAAAGTCATTTGAAACAAACCATCATGGTAACTCAACCTTTGTGATTGGAGATCCCATGAAGAAGGTTAATAGGAAAAACAAGTTATTTGTTAGTTTTGTTAGCACTAAAATTGATTTTAATCAATTTTTTTAATCTCTTCCTATGATGTGAGAAAGTGCTAAAGTTGCATTAATGAAAGAGTAATATTTATATTTGAATTTTATCTAATTATGAGAAAGCTTGATCTCTTACAGAGATTTTAATGGCTTTCATATCCCTTATGGGTGGTGTGTGAATTGCAACATACAAAATCATTTATATGAGTGTTAAGTGGGGCTGCTTGCATGGGATATTGGCGAAACCTATAGAACACTCATGAATAACTAACACGCACATGACCTGAAAGTGCAACACAACGATAATGATAAAGATTGTGAAGGTGTAGTATTAGGAAGATCATGTGGTATCCTAGGGGACTTGTGTGAGAGTCTGTGGATAAGTCTTTTAGGACAGTGTATTGCATACATCATGAGTTCAGATTAGTTCGTGTTCTTAACACATTGCACTTATCAAGAGCTCAAATCAGTTCGTGTTCTCAACATACATGGACAACAAATATTGATCTTGGTTGTTTTGGTTGATATGGCTAATAATGGTAATCCAGTGGTTGATTCGATTATGTTGAGGTCATATTTTTCTTGTTTTCTTTCACTATAAGAAAAATGCCAATTTTTGACAGAAACAAGTAAATTTCTGACGAATTTTTTTTTCTCGACGGATTTAAATTCGTTAGAAAAAGTGGCGTCGGAAAAAAATATTCGACAAAAATAATTTAATCCGTCAAAAATTTTTGACGGAAAATTCCGTAAAAAATTTCTGACAAAATTTTCGTTGGAAAATCTGTCGAAAATTTCCATCGAAAAATTTCGTCAGAAATTTTCGACGGATATTTTCATCAAAAAATTCCATCATAAATTATATATATATTTTTAATTTTAATAAATTTATTAATGAAACAGCCTTCATATTTGGCCTCTCAAGGATTCTATTTCACGACATTTCACTTTTTAGCGTGTTTTATCCTTACTCGCGCAATTTATGAGAAATTTTTCCAGAAGGTCACCCATTCCTATATTACTTTAGGCCAAACACGCTTAATTGTGAAGTTCTGATGAGTAAGTTACCGAAATGTATATGTATGTTGTCAGTATAACTTCTACAAATTAATTCATTTAAGTCATCCTCAAATAACAATCTCATACTTGTACTATAGTAATAATATATAATAATTTTATATTATGAATAATAATAATAATAATATATTTAATTATTTTTTATTTATATGTACTTATTTTTATAATTAACAATCTACTTATTTCTATTTAAAATTATAATTTAAATTATTTAATTTTATAATTTATAATGATAATATAATTTATAAAATTATAAATATTTATTTATTACATACTTATAAATTAAATTTTAACATTTTAAATAAATTATTAATTAATTTAATATATTTATTTACCTTAAATCAAACATATAAAATTCAAAAAATGTATTTATCCTTGTTTTTTTTTTTAATTATCAACCATTAATAAAATACTAACTTAAAATCTTATCTAATTATATATAATATTCTCATATCAAATTTAAAACCAGATATTAGTTATACAAAAATATTAAGATCATATAGTAAATTGTCAATAAGATTTTAGTTAAATAATTTAAAATAATTAATGTTTCAATTATATTGTTAATTAGCAAATAATTTATTCCAAAACTAATTAATTTTTTATATTAATTATTAGTAAAATTTAATAACTTTTAATTTAACATTTAATTGGATCGATAAAATTCAACACACACCATGAGTTATTGAGTAGAATAACTTTACCAAGAGTTATTTTATAAGTTATCTTAGAATTTATTATCATTATTTGCTTTATCAATTAATAACATTATATTTGTAATAAGATATCAAATAATTTACATCTATTATAAAATATTTAATTTTTTATAAAAAAAATAATTTTAATTATTTTTACCTGATTGATCCAATCCAATTTAACTTGTTTATGATCAAGTTGGATTAAAAATATATATATACAAACTCAACTTAATCCAATCCATTAAATTTTAATCGGATTGAATAACATTTATTTATACTCGACCCAACCCAACCCTTCCATTCCTACATCATTTATTTGACATGGAGCAAAACTCTCCCTAAAAAGAGTTACCCACGCTAGGCATCACCCATATTTCATTGATAACTTGTACCCTATCTTCTAAAAATAAACCCTCAAGGATTCAATGTGGAGTCCTATATTATCAAATTAAATCAGTCTCCATGTATTGAATAATCTCGTTTTGTTTGGGGTGAGTTTCAGAGGAGGGGTCAATATATCCAAAGCACTTGACAAGTGTTTGTACATAGGAAATTTCAAACAACAATCTTTCAACATATATACAACCAATAATTTGAAGCTTCCCTTGTGCATCGCATAGTAAAGTTACCCAAGATTCAAATCACAGGAAAATTACCTTATAAATTCAACATTGTTAAGTGTTGAACGCTATATTTTGGGTTCATTTGCTTTCCAAGAAGTCAACTCAGCTGGAATCACTTCTTCATTACAGGAGAGCACAGCTTGTGCCATCAAATTACCAAGCCAAGCATGGTATAACAATCCTCTTGAACCTAGCCCTCCAAATAACCAATACTTACAAGTATGGTTTCTGCCTATTACATCATTGATACAACCCAAAAGTGGAAGTGATCCAAGGGGCGTGAGTGGAGGCATTGCCCTCAGACCAGCTCTTGCACCAGTGAAAACCCAATCTTCTATTCCAGGATAAATGGTAGATGCCTTTGGCAAAAGCTGTAGAAAAGCTTTTGAAGCTTCATCGCTTGAAACATTTGGTGATGAATTTATGGATTTCCACTCCCAAGTTGAGCCCACATTCAGACTCCGGGGGCCCTGAACAGCAATCCATGCATCTGATAATATCGAGGGCCCACTCTCAGGATAACCTCTGTAAGAAAATGCCAGAAAAATCTCAAATAAATGGGATATGACATTGAAGCAATCTCTATGAGACATCATAATGCCAAACTATAGAATTTTAAGGTGGAAAGCATATGATTGAAAACTTACATCATATCGTCAGGCAATTCCAAGTGCACAATTACACCCCTACATGTCCTCAAAGGAAGCCTCCCTGAGATCTCGGGAAGCATGTTCACCTTGGCACCTAGGCATATGATGACTGCATCATATTCCCCTGAGACATTAAAGATATTATATCATAGTCTTGAACAATCGCATGTTCTGCCAAAGTTTGTTCATGACTTGCATGCTAAAGCTATCACAAAATAAGCAAACATACGGAAGCATTTATGAAAAACATTGAAATTTGAGAACCTTCATTTGTCCCATTTATACACTTGAAATAGATTAATCTTCTGACCAGTATGCAAAAAGGAATTTCATGGAACCAAGTCAGCCAAACAATGCCTTTTGTATGCAACAAAGGTACTACTAAATGAATTTATGAAAGAATCAAAAGTGAATAATTAAGTTAATTAAGATGCCATAATCTCCAGTCCAAGGAATGGTGGACCAACTAAAAATACAAAAAGAAATGCAATAATTTTACATTGCCTAAACTTGTTCAACCAAAAGAAATTAAAGAATAGCAATGCATTATTACCTTCAAACTCTGAAAGTCTATGAACAGATCTTTTATGTAAACTTAACTGTTTCTGTCCAGAACCAAGAATGGAGGATTCTTTCACCAAATTTTCACATCCTTGGAAAAGTGCCTAATAGAATTATTAAAATGAATTAAACTAACCTAGAGAAAGGAAAAAAAAAAAAAAAGGAAGCAAAACATAAATATTATTTGATTAAACAATCAAGAAATTTTGTTAGTCATTCAAACCTGAAGATAATGTTGCGAATCAATATTTAGAGCTTCGGGCATATAGAAAGCTGTGTTTAATGGTAAACATACACCAGGTAAAAGACTTTGAGCTTTTTCATTATCAAGTGTCTCTACTCTACAGCTAGGAAGCGAAGTCTTGACATTCTAATCACATAAAAGAAGATTATCAGTACAAAACCCAAGTCTAAATATCTAAACCATTACTTCTGAAAACTATTAAATCATAGAGATTACATCATTCAATTTAATCACATTCTTCATATCTGTTGCCGGTCTTAAGATGCCCCTGAAGTTAGCTGATCATCAGCAATGTAAAGCAACTCTAAGATTCCAATTGAGAGTGTAAAATGAAAACAAAAAAAAAATAGTAACATGAAGTGTTCAAAAAAGATAAAACACTTTTCCAAGAGTTGGAACAGGAAAGGGGGAATCTTTTGTTTCTGAAAGGAAAACAAACTAAAGAACCTTTTGTGAGCTACAAAAGCCTTCATATCTTCAACAGATTCGTCAGTTCTGCAGTCCTTGGAGACACTAGCTTCTTCGGCAATTCTCAAAAGCTTCATGCTCTCTTTCCAACACCGAGCACCCTCCCACAGAAGCTTAACTACATTATCATTCACCCATCAAAAGATTCCATGGGAACATTAGGAAACCACAACACGGCATAAGACTTCAATAGAAAACAACAATCCACTATACCCACACTGCACAGTAGAACACAGTACAAGAAGAAAATGAGAAACCTTTGGGGGAATAAGGGTGAAGAAGACCTCCAGAAATTCCAGAAGCACCACCCCCAATGCCCACTTCATCATATATATCAATTCTTAGATTCAACTCCTTAGGACATTGCTGCAATGTTAATTTTCACCAAAAAAAAAAAAATGAATAAAGTCAGTTGCTGGAAGATAACCATATTAGGACCTGTTTAAGTAAATTTTTCTAGAAATACTTATTGGAAAAACAAAATAAATTTCACTATAATTTGAAACTAATTTATGCATAAGTTAAAAATAAAAGACTTTCATGGGTAAATTTATCCAAAAACACTTTAAAAAGGTTAAAAGAAAAATGAAAATAAATTTTCTTGTATGCTAAAACTATCTTATACATAAGTTAAAATTAAGAACTAATAAATGAGAACTTCAACATATAAGTTATAGTTGACGAAAAAGCTTATTTCATCTTTAATCCTTCTAAGTGATGATAAATATGCAAGCACACATTAATATTAGTATGAATTAAAAACAGAGAGAGAGTACCTTGAACAAATGCCAAACAACAGAAAGGCCAGCGAACCCAGCACCGAGCACTGCGCACCTGAGGCAATAAGCCAACATATTAAAGAGAGATGTGGGTGCGTGTGGCTATGAAAGAAAAAAGACAAGTGAAGCAAGAAGAACTCACCTGAGAGGGTGTTGAGTTAGAGAGCTATGGCACCGAACTGAAGAAGACGAAGAAGAAGGAGAAGGAGGAATGGAACAAACAATGTTGAGCGATGGAGATGTCGAACGCCATGGCAAAATCCTAGGATAAGGGTTCGGCCACAAATTGAGGCTCTTCATTACCCTGTCCCTGCGCGAGAGAGATGTATTGCTCAATTAAGATGCAAGTGTAACTGTGTAAGGGTAAAACACCGTTCGGTATAGGTGTGTTTTATTCGAAATGAAAATTTTAAAAATAATTCTAAAATGTTGTTTATTTTAATTTAAAATTAAAAAAGTGTTCAATTTAAATAATAATTAAGATTTTAACTTATACAATATACAAACATATTTATTATATACAATTAAAATTTATAGCAAATTATGTATATAATTATAATAAATCAAAATTAAATTAGATAATAAATTTTAAAAAATATCTATAAATTATCTAATTAAAGAAAAATTTTGAACACACTCTTGTGTAAGATAAAGATTCATGTTTAATATATAAGAGTTAATATTAATATATATTTGGTTGAGAAGTTCTAATAAAGAGGATTGGGTCGAGTGGTTTTAGTTGATGATCTTGGTCGAGAGGTTCTGAATAAGGGGGGTCGAGCTGATTGCTGCAACTTAGCCTCTACGTCTTTCATACTCAAGGCTAGTGGACAAGTGTACCATCCTGGATAAAATCCAATATGGTCTTGTTGATGAGATATAAGTCCAATATGGACTACATAGAGACGACATAATGTACCATCCTAAAAAAAATCAATATGGGCATGTTGATGAGATATAAATTCAAGATGGACTCCACAAAGATGATAGTGTACCATCCTAGAAAGAATCCGATATGGGCATTTTGAGGGGATATAAATCCAACACGGACTCTACAAAAATGACATAGGTTAAGATTAGTAGATTGCTCAACCTATTAACTAAGTTGGAATAAAACTGATCTATGAACATTCTGATATCAATTGATCAAGGGAGGTCGAAATTATTCGCATCTTATAAAATCTAAATTGAATTTTATCTTTATTTGTTAAGATATTATGATAAGATATGATGTTGAAACTACCTTATCAAATCTCGAAATTCTTGAAACCCATAAACACATGAACAAGTAACTATAAAAACTCTAACCCTAGAGCAAGAAGGGTAGATTACATTTTTGAATGCTTTAACTTTGGTTGAGCGCCTAGACAAAACCCTAGATATTCTCTAGACCATAACATTTTGGCGCCCATCGTGGGGTTATAATGAAACTTCTCCTACACCCCAAGGAAGAATAGTTGAAGAAAGTGTAAGGAGGTTTTGGTGGAGATGGAAAGAGGAATGACATCGAATCATGAAACTTAGCATCCAACAATGGAGGAGATGATGAACTTTATCAATGACTTAAGTAAATATAATGTTCAGGCAAGGGAGAGAGAGGATGTTATTAAGAGGTAAGACAAAGAGATTTGACAACAGGCGAATGAGATGCATGTGGCGATAGAAGCTAATCTCAAAACGAATCACGAAGATGTGATGATAGAAATACCAAGGCATTTTAGGCCTTTTTTAGAGGTGATCGAAGAAAAAGTCATTTCACAAGAGCACAAAGTATCCCAAGTTGACTCCTTTGATGGAACACACGATCCCAGTCATCTAACAAAATTTTGAGCTTAAATGTTAATTTGTGGAGGAAGCATGGGGTAAGGTGCAAGTTGTTCATAAGAACCTTGAAGAAGGCCTCTTTGGATTGGTTTAATGGCCTATTGGATCGATCCATTACTGATTTCAACATGTTCAATCATTTGTTTATGGCTCAAATTGTCGCAAATAAGCGAAAACCCCTTGTTACATCGAATTTATTCAATTTAAAACAATAGGGGGAATCTTTGAAAGATTTTTGTTAGTCAAGTATCCTCGTATAACTTAAGAAGGGCTGAATTAAGTTATCTTATTTTTCTTCTCTTTTTCAATTTTTAAAGATGCCTTCTAAAAATTTATTTACTTAAGCAAAATGTATGTAATGATACAAAAATTACTCAACCACAATTAAATAACAAGTAAATAAAAGTGAAGAGAAGAAGAATTGTAAAATTGATTTTACATTGGTTTGGCCAATCTTGCCTACATTCAGTCCTCAAGTCTCCAACTTGAGATTTCCACTATTCTTGTAGTACTTACAAGACTTGAATCCTCCAATACCTTGGAATACCCTTTCCTAGTGTTGAGATTCAAAAACAACAAGGAGAACAACACTTTCTCCTTCACAGATCCAATGATCAATTTGGAATTACAAAAGAACTCTCTTTTAAGAGTAGATATTACACCTTAAAGATCTTAATGAACTCTTAGAATAATGCAAATGAATTTGGCCAAGAATTTTTTGTAAATGACTTTTTCACAATAGAGTTCGTAACCTTTCTCTGAAAAATTATAGGTATTTATAGATATATATTTCTTAGGTTGTGTCTTTTTATGAAGAGTTGTAACTCTTTTATAATTTTTCAGAAAAGATACTCTAGTAATCGATTACAAGACTTGGTAATCTATTACAACAGTTTTTAATATCAAAAAGTTGAAATGTTGTATCTTTTAAATTCAAATTTTTGAGGTTCCCTCTTCTGGTAATCGATTACAAGGTCTGGTAATCGATTACCAGAACACATTTTTGTATTTTAATTTTGAATCAAGAAGTTTCCTTGCTCTGGTAATCGATTACTTTGGTAATCGATTACTAGACAAATATTAAAAACATTTGCTATATAAAATTTTTGATATAGGAAACTTTTATAATTATCAGGCAAAAATATCTTTGTAAAATCTTTTTGAATACTCTTTTAACTTTCCTTTTAAAAGGATATAAAAACTTACTCTTATATATTCAAGAAGATTAAATTGAAGTTTTCTTGAAATTCTTATTTTAATGGCCAAGTAAAATTTGCAATTTCTAAAAGTTCATTTTACATATTAAGTTAAGTAGTCAAGACTTATCTAGTTATTACTTGAGATTTTGCTTCTTGATCAACTTGCTTTAACTTGACCTTTTGTTTCTTACAAAGATTTGGCATCATCAAAACCTTGTGCATATATTCTTCCATAATTTTCTTCAAAGATTCAATGAAGTTTCTTTAAGCATAACATCTTTGGACGAAAGGATGATGGTCATAACATTCTAGAAGGTCCTAAGATTGAGGGACTTTGATGTTTCTTTAGATTACAAAGCTTTGGCATCATCAAAACCTTGTGCATATGTTCTTCCACAATTTTCTTCAAAGATTCAATGAAGTTTCTTTAAGCATAACATCTTTGGACGAAAGGATGATGGTCATAACATTCTAGAAGGTCCTAAGATTGAGGGACTTTGATGTTTCTTTAGAGAAGATGAATTACCAGACAATGGCCAAAGTAAGAGCTTTTGCTCCTAGTTATATAAAGATGGAGCAAGGAAAATTAGCATGAGAGCGATAGAAAACCAAGGAGTTGGACATAAGTGGGTAATGTGTTGAACACAAGGTTAAATCATTTAGGCAGTGCTTAAGTTTGATCATTGGCGAAAACAATTCTTGGCCAAGTTCTATTTAATGTATTTTTTTCCTAACTTAATCTTTTTATCCCTATAAGAATGTGAAAAGATTTTTAATTGAGAAGGTACTTGATGAGGCATCGTTGAGCAATAAATTTGAATTTTTATATTCTTATTTACAATTATCCATTATTGATAAATTTGTAGAACTTCCTTGCACAACTAATGATTACTCGCTTAAAATTTGACTTGGCGAGTATAAATAACTTGAAACCAAACTCGGATTACTTAGTAAAAATTTGACTGGGAGTATAAATTAATAGAAGACAAACTCGTTATTGATTAGTTAAAATCTGATTGGAAAAGTATAAATAACTTAATGACCAAACTTGTGATTGCTCGATAAAAATATGATTGGACAAGTATAAATAACTCAAAGATCAAACTTGTGATTACTCAGTAAAAATCAAACTGGACAAGTATAAATAACTCAAAGACCAAACTCGTGATTACTCGGTAAAAACTTGACAAGGCGAGTATAAATAACTCAAAGACCAAACTTGTGATTGCTTAGTAAAAATTTGATTGAGCGAGTATAAATAACTTAAAGACCATACTTATGACGACTTGGTAAAAATCAAATTGGGTGAGAATAAATAATTCAAAGACCAAACTCGTGATTGGTTAGTAAAAATTTGACTAGACGAGAATAAATAACTCAAAGAACAAACTCATGATTAATTGGTCAAAATTTGATTAGGCGAGTATAAATAACTCAAACACAAACTTGTGATTGATTAGTTAAAATCAACTTAGGCAAGATTAAATAATTTGAAGACCAAACTCGTAATTGCTTGGTAAAAATCTAATTGAGTGAATATAGATAACTAGAAGACCAAACTCATGGTTGCTTGATAAAAAATTGACTAGGCGAGTATAAATAATTCGAAGACAAAACTTGTAATTTCTTGGTAAAAATTTGTTTGGGCGAGTATAAATAACTTGAAAATAAAATTCTTGATTGATTGATAAAAATTTGATTAGGCGAGTATAAATAGCTCAAAGAATGAACCCATGATTGATTGGTAAAAATCTGACTAGGTGAGTATAAACAACTTAAAGAAACACTTATGATTGATCCATTAAAATTTGACTAGGTGAGTATAAATAATTCGAAGACAAAACTCATGATTGCTTGGTAAAAATTTGACTAGACGAGTAATTTAGCCTCTACACCTTTCATGCTCAAGGTCAATGGACAAATGTACCCTCTCGAATTTTTGTCGAGATTTTGGCCGAAAGGTTCTGGCCAAGAGGTTTTGATCGAGAGGATCAGGCCAAGTGGTTTTAGTCGAGAGATCTTGGCCGAGAGATTCTAACCGGGGCGGTTGGGCTGAGTGTTGTAACTTAGCCTTTATGCCTTTCATGCTCAAGGTTGATGGAATCATGCCTAGAAGGGCAAGAGGTGACATCTTGAAGGAACTAAAAGGAATGGGCTAGACATGAAGATTTGGGCCAGTCAAAGCCCAATGGGCCAGATGGGCTTGGAAGGCCCAAGTTGATCCTCACATGGGCCACACCTTGAGATATCCATTCTCTTCTATTTTGTATATATTATATTATCATAGGTTTCATATATTTTGGTCTTGTATTTTGGACCACATAAAGTAGCATTTTTGGGTCATAGGCTTAT